ACTAGGGTTTAACGCCTAAGAATTTCCAATTTTAACTGACTTTTTTTTAAATAATTTTCACCAAAGGCAAATTGTTGGCGCTCGAGGGGATATTCTGCGAATACAATACTACTTTGAGTCAATGTTTGATGAGTCGCTTACTCACGAGCATTGGGTTGGTAAATACATATGTGTGTACATATGTACGGGGGCGAGAATGTAAATAGGGAAGAGACAATTTAGCAAGTTTTGACTATTTTTCTTTGTTTAAAAGATTTGTATTATTCTTTTGTGAAAATATAACATACTGTAAACAAAACCTTGCAAATCAAAATTTCAATCTTTGTAGAACATTTATAAAAATTTAACGAATTTTAATAAATATTCATAAAAATTTTAAACTTAATGTTTCTAAACTTTTTTTGGGTATGCAGTCTTGCAGCCTATTAAATTTTAATACAATAAAGTGCAAGTTTAAAGTAGCAATTTTTGGTTCACGCGTTTTCTTCCATATGTTCGAAATTTTTTCTATGCCAAAAATCAACGGTAAGTCCTAGCTGCTTCAAACTAGAGATGCAGTTTTTAAATCAATTAATTCGAAGATCGATTAATCGAGTACTTCCGACTCGATTTTTTAGTTCCGTTTCGATCCGTGAATCGATTCAAAAATTTTGAGAATCGACATTCGATTTTTGCAGATTGCTTTTTTATTTCTTACAAAAATTAAGTAGAATACGTTATTTGACAAAATATATGAATCGATCTAGGGAGATCGATTTATTTTTCGACGATTAATTCCTGCATCGATTATTTTTATTTCGATTCGAATCGATTCAAAAATAGATTTTTTTTTTATTTCGATCCGGCATCTTTACTTCAAACTTGCACTTCGTTATAATAAAATTGATTGGGCTTTAAACTGCATACTCACGATTTTTCTAAGAAATCTAATTAAATTGATAAAAATTTGGATTAAACTATCGAATTTTTCTAATTCTTGTACAAAGTTTACATCGTTTTTGTGAAGTAACGAGCTACACCTTAATAAAAAAATAATAAACATTAAAATAAAACGAAAGGGAAATAGCCAAAGAATGCTAAAATGTCGCTTCCCTATTTATATTTTCGCCACTGTATGTACATATGTTTTTCGTCAAAAAAGTCAACAAGCTTAACATTTGTAGCGCGTCCATTTATCAGACGCGTGTTCGGTGTAAACATTATGAGCAACGGCTTCATGCAGTAAAGGGCATATCGCTTACAAGCTATGCTTTGTACATACATACATACATACATACTTAAAGCAAATATTTAACATAACTACCATGTTGTGCTGATAACACTGGTCTACAAATTTCAACTTTTTTTCTGCGAATAAGACGGGACCTGGTGTTTCTGAACGGATTTTTCGTGCTGAACACGAATCCGGGGTCAAAAATGTCCCATCACGTCACGTTTTCGAGAAAAAAGGGGTTGAAACCCCTAAAAACAGCGTTTTTGGCCATTTTCGAAAAATTATAGAGCTGAACCCTGACGTGGTACAAATTTTGCATATATCAGAAATTAAAGGCTAAACCGTGCCCTTTCGAATGAGCCCTATGCCGAGTTGATCGCGTGCACCCTTAAAGCAGGGGGTGTATTTGTGTTTAGGGGTGCAGGAAAAATTGATCACAGAAAGAATTTAATCTTAAACGATCATAGAAAATTAATAATGCCAAGGTTTTAACTATATTAAAAGTCGCTGATTACGAATCTGCAGTTAGATTTTAAAAATTTAAGATGACGGGTCGAATATGGTGGATATAAAAATTGGACTCCTAGACACAAATACACCCCCTGATCTAAGGGTGCATGCGATTAATTCGGCATAGGGCTCATTCGAAAGGGCACGATTTAGCCTTTAATTTCTGACATATACAAAGTTTGTAGCACGTCAGGGTTCAGCTCTACAATTTTTCAAAAATGGCCAAAAACGCTGTTTTTTCCTGCACCCCTAGACACAAATACACCCCCTGCTCCAAGGGCACATGCGATCAACTTGGCATAAGGCTCATTCGAAAGGGCACAATTTTACCTTTAATTTCTGACATATGCAAAGTTTGTAGCACGTTAGGGTTCGGCTCTACAATTTTTCGAAAATGTCCAAAAACGCTGTTTTTAGGGGTTTCAACCCCTTTTTTCTCGAAAACGTGACGTGATGGGAAGTTTTGGACCCCAGATTCGTGTTCAGCACGAAAAATCCGTTCGGAAACACCAGGTCCCGTCTTATTCGCAAAACCCTTGTAGACCAGTGTAATTTGTCACATTGTTTTTGTAATGGTATGTCACCTGGCCTTTTTTAGATTTGACGCTACGGGAGTCAGATATCAATGTCTGAAAAATCGAGCAAACGATTCGTATTCTTATGACTAATGAGTTCTAGTTATTTATGTACTATTTTGAACAATCATTCTAGATATTATTTACAAAAACAATAAATAAATGCAATATTGACTCTTACTGATTACAAAACGTTCACAAGAATTTACCCGGAAAATTCTAATTGACGGATGTGCCATTGACATGAAGCATTTTTAGTTTCAGAATGTTCAATTTGAGCTCTGGCAAATTTAAAGCATTTTAAAAAGTAGAGTTATGCAGCGTTTTTGCTGCATTTAAAATGCAACATTTGAGGGCATATTTAATAAGGTAGCTCGAGCTCTCTTGTAGCTAGTTATAATGTCAAAAAACTGTAAATAAACAAATTAACCTTTTGAGGTGCGAGTGCTATGTTTGCTACAAATTAGTAACAGTTGAAACGCATCAGCATAAATACATACATATGTACGTATACTAATTTTAAGAATTACTTCAATATACCTTCAAAGCATTTTAATTGCATTCTCATTTCATATGACCATATACAGAATATGGACAGAAACGAATGCCTCATAAAGAAACCACGCAAATAAAATGAACGAAATGTTTTATGAAACTATTTTAAACAATTTGTTGTTGTTGTTTTTATTCGCCACATGATTTTTTGAATTTTGGGATCAACTCTTGTTCTTTATTTTTTTTATAAAATATATATAAAAACTCTCTCTTCAAAAAAGACGCAACTGCTGAATTTTTAACACGTCAGTGAAACTAGTTATTAACCGGGTTAAGATTTTAAGTCATTTGCCTATTTTGTAGGGTCAGAACACCTACAAAAAATCGCTCGTGTTTATAAATTATCGTAGACAAAAATGCAACCATGTGCCACAATCATATGTTTTTCGTGGAAAAATTTTAGCCAGCAAGAATTTGCAACTTCTCTCAAGAGAACTGTCACTTTGCGCTCTCAGTTTTTGGGTGATGGATAATTTTTTTGGTCTGCGCGAACGCGATTTGGGCAAAAATCATGATAATTCGTACAAATTCGTAAAAATTTTTTGCTCGACGAACCAAACTATTAGCAGATTGCCATATAAGCTGTGTCAAAATGTAGTAATTATGATCCGATTTTACTAAAATCTCAATTTGCTTAAGAATGAACAACTAAACCAAATGGCATAGATTGGCGAATGGTAGATATTATCCGAATCCGATAAAATTTGGATTTTATATGCCTGGTGGGCGTGTCAGTAGGCCAATTTTGATCATCTTTCAGATTTAAGTTTTTATGGTTAAAACTAAGATACAAACTGAATTTCATAAAAATTTTAGAATATTTACTATTTCCATGGAGAGAAGACTCTCCCTGTGGGGTGCTCTATATTGACTGTTCTCTAAATCACAGCACCCGCTAGTTTCGAGCTTTTAAACCTGTGGGTGAGCAGTTTTTGGATGATCCAGAAAACTCACGCCCGACGCCTAACGATGCGCCCAAAGGTAGTAGAATTATGGCTGACCTTTATTTTGGTTGCTTCTAATTATTTTCTAGTAAGAAATTGCAGAAAACTGCATGCCAAATTAATTGGATAGAATGGGAGCACCTTTTACTACCTGCAGTATACATTTGGACAGATGGGCCTCTAGGAATTTGGGCTTACCTTAAGCTTTTTGATGTCAAGGTCTTTTTACATAGTATATATATACCTGGAAATTAACAAGTCCATACCGCATACACTTTTTAAAGTTTTCAAGGTATCAAGTAATGGTCAATTGGATAGCTTTATATTAAAAATCATTACACATATTTAATGGGCCGTTGTCCTGTCTCGGCTAAAGTAGTTTTCAAAAAAGTAGAAAAAAATTGTTGAAATAAATGTCTGAGCGAAATTAAAGGTTTACTGCCGGTTTCACCAGCAATTTAAGTAGAAAATGATTTCTTATTTTCTGTTAATTTCCATATAAAATTCAAAAAATTAAAATAATTTTTCACTTAAATTGATTTCGTGAAATTGGCTGTAAGACATACATATGTATATGTAGTAAAATTTCATGGGAAATAGAAGAATAATTTTCTAGATTATATCAAACCTCTAACTTACTTCCAAATTTGCTTTTTGCGGGGTTTCTTGAAATAAGGATCAAAACGACCTTTTCAGACGCGTGCTAATGGGTTAAAATATTCTACGAAAATATTTTCCATGAAGCTTTACTATATATTTATGTCTTAAACTTTAATTTCGCTCAGACATTTATTTTAACAATTTTTTCGACTTTTTTGAAAACTACTTAGGCCGGCACATGAAAACTTTAGTAGGCCATAAAATAAAAATACGAGCTAACTTTTGCAAATCCATCGAGGGTTTTATTGCTGCATATGTATACTTTCAGAAAATATTAGCAAAGTACGGGCTGGTTTGAATTTTCATAAAATTGTCGTACAGTGTTATAGAGCATTGTCACCCAAAGCGCGGTAGATTTCAAAAATGCCGAAAAAGCAATCCATTTCAACGATATCTACTTATGGCCGGTGATAAAGTTCGGCTTTGTCCGAGCTAAGAACTCTGCACCGGTTCGTCTTTTAATCTTCGCTTTCACATCGCTCTACATACAAAACTCAGTAGTCGATCGTTCACTAATGCATTTTATCATTATCTTTTCAATAGATTTCTGAATGCGCTGCCAGAGGTGGTGAATGTGACGAGACGAGAGGTCGGCCAGTTTGTGGCACGGACGAACAAACCTACCCCTCACGCTGTCACTTGTTACGAGTACAATGTAGTGGCCATCAAGTTAGTCTCAAATACCGAGGGCCCTGCAAAGGTGAGTAAAGTTACACATTTTACTTTAGACGGTTGTAGAAAATTAAACCGTTATGTGCCATATTTTTTTTTTGTCTTTTTTTTTGTCTTGCTTAGCCTGCAAAGAGGCACGCGACTACGCTCTCAAACACAAGTCTCGCAATCCACCAAAATTCATACCACGCTGTAAAACCGATGGCACTTATGCAGCCATTCAATGTTTAGGCGATACCGGCTGTTGGTGCAGCGATATCACTGGGAAACCCATTGAGAACACATCGGTACGCAATGGCAAGCCCAAATGTCGCGAATATGGCAAGGCGAACATACGTCGTTCACCGGCGCGTCACCTGAGTCCGAGTCGTGGTCGACGCACGTGCACTGCCATCGATCGTGCTGCCTTCAATGCCAATCTCATCAAAGTCTTCCAAAGTGAGTACATACGAGCTGGACAACAGAAACGCACCATGGCAGTGAATGCGGGTGGCGGCGAGGGAGGCTTTGCAACGCCAAATGATAAGTTGGTGCTCGATTGGAAGTTTACTTACTTGGATACGAATGCAAATCAAATGCTGGACAAAACTGAATTCCGTGAACTAAAGAAGCTTGTAAAGCGGGTGAGTAGTCAATGACGTTGTATATAATTTCATTGGCAATAACTGGCAAAATGCATGCATGCAAATATAATTTTGTAAGGGTATGCAGTGAACTACACATATACATACATATATACACACATACGTACATATGTATGCATATAAGTATGTACACTAGTGGCAGAAATAATAGAAACGCCTTATTTTGACCAGTTTTGGCTAAATTTCCGTTTGTTTTTAATGTTTCATATTTTATTTATAAAAGTATACATAACTCATTATATAACAAACTGCGTGTAAATCCAAATTTGTACAAAAATTAGACAAATTAAACTTTTATTCAGAATTTTTAGAAAGATTTTAGGAATGTAGCTCACAACATTTTTTTTTAGCTGACGGTGTAGGTATATTTAGATATACATATGTATACAGAACGTATAAAGTATACACAAATATGAATTTCTTGTGGAACAAAATACGCCAGCCCATTCGCAAACAAAAAAAAGCAAAAAATCAACGCGAGTTTTAGTCACTTAAAACTTGCATTCGCACTAAAATTTAATGGGCTATAAAACTGCCTACCTAAAATTTTTCTAAAAAATTTATAAAATTATAAATTCCATACAAATTACAACATTAAATAAACAAAAAAACAACGTGTTTCTATTATTTCTGCCTCCAATGTAGTATGTACATTTGCTCAGCAGTTGAATGTATGATATATTTCATGTATGTACATTAGGCAGGTTGAAAAGCATGTGAAAAAGTAAAGTCCGAATTTTAATACTCTCACCCCTAGGATTGTTCTATATCGAAAAATACACCCCTGCTTTTTTATTTAAAAATAATAAAATATTTAGAGGTCGCTCAAAGTTTTCCATTTATTTTGTGTGAAAAAAAACACTTTTCATAAAAATAGAGTTATTGAAAATCAATATATTTCGATGGGAAATCTCTGTTTCTCTTCAGGAGACTGCCCATAATAATAGTTCCTAATTCCTTATTTTACCATTTTTTAATGATTTTTTAAGCGATTTTTTTTGGGTTTTGGGGACCTAAAATAAAAAGTTTATATTAAAAATTGGTTAAATAAACAATTGGGTTCTATTGTTGACAGCCTCCTGAAGAGAAACAGAGTTTTATGATCGAAAAATATTGATTTACAGGAATTCTATACCATTTCTACGAAAAATTGTTTTCTGCTTATATAAAATACAAGGAAAAGTTTGAGCGCTTTGAGCGACTTAGAAATATTTTTTTGATTTACAAAAAAAAAACGGGTATAGTTTATTCGGTATAGAACAATCCTAGGGTGTTAGAGCATTAAAATTCCAACTTTACTTTTTTTTGGACCATCCTAATGTACAAACATACCAAGCGCGTATTTCTCCCATTGCATGCGTTAATTATCTATTCTCTGCACAGGCGGTGAAACCCAGACGTTGTGGACGTGCTTTTGGCAAATTCTGCGATTCGGATGACGACGATCGATTGACACTGACCGAATGGAATAATTGCTTTTCCAAAGATGATATTATACGTAAGTGCTTGTTTTTGGTATTTCTAGATCGTAGTATATACTACATACATACATATAAAATTTCTTAACTATATAACATGGAACATTTTCAAATTGCATATACGCATGCAAATCACAATAGGTACATAACCTTAAAAATAAGTGTCCAACAGAAGTGGAAATATTTGAGTAGTTATTCTAACATAGCATTTCTAAATTCATTTTCATTAATTCATATGTAGTTACGGTTATTAGATTAGAAATTAAAACAAGTAAAGAAGTATAAGTTCGGGCGTATTAAATATCGTTTCTCACCTCTGTGCAATATATGTACATATGTACATATGTACGTATGTAATTAAAATAATTTCAATAATTATTGAAATAATTGAACCAAGTTTGGCAGAAATCGATAAAGCGCTTACTGAGATAAAATTTTGTAGTTGTAAGTGGCCGGTTAAGTTCTTAACAGGCTAACCTAATATTCACGCACGCCGCCAATTTACTGTCAAAAATTTCTCATGCACATACAACTTGTATGGGACCAACCGAAATTGAACGGCGTGCGTATGAAGCTAACTCAATTTCCAATTTTTGTTCTGCGTGACATTTTGATTTGACGTTTCGCTTAATGAAATCAAATGCAAACGCACGCAAGCCAATTTCGGGTGACGCAAAAAAACATATTCGACGGCGTGCGTACCAAAACGCAAGCCGCGAATATTAGGTTAGCCTGTAAGATATTAATAGGTATATATGTAAGTAGGGTTTAAATGATTTTTAAAAACTTAGAGATTAGCGTACTTTATACTATGTAAGGATAAGGAGGGATGTACATTAGGGTGATCCAAAATAAGTGAAATCGGAATTTTAATGCTCTCACCCTCTAGGGTTGTTCTATATCAAAAAAAATACCCCTTTTTTATTTTTCAATCAAAAAATATTTAGAGGTCCGCTCAATGCGCTCAATGTTTTCCATGTATTTTATATGGGGAAAAAACAATATTTTTCGATCGGAAAACCCTGGTTCTTTTCAGGAGACTTCCAATAACAATACTAAATTGATTATTTAACAATTTTTTAATACTAAAGATTTTTTATTTATACCCCTATTGCATTTTCTAGCATTCTCAAGGTGTTTTGGCGGACCTATAAAATATAGTTCCTATGAAAAACGTGTTAAAAAAATAATTGGGTGTTATTATTAGGAATTTTCTGAAGAGAAGCAGAGTTTTGCGGTCGAAAAATATTTATTTTCAAGAATTCTATACCATTTCTACAATAAGATTGTTTTTCGTATAAAATACATGGGAAACTTTAAGCGCTTTGAGCGACCTCTAAATATTTTTTGATTTCAAAATAAAATAAAAAATAGGGGTATATTTTTTCGGTATAGAACAATCCTAGGGGATGAGAGCATAAAAATTCCGACTTTACTTTTTCACATGCATTTTTGGACCACCCCAATCTACATACATACATATGTACATAATATGTTGCCCGCATGCAACTAATTGTTCAGACATGAGATTTTGTGTTATAACTCCTCCACTTGAAGAGCTAAGAACATGAAATTTTCGCACTCTTTCCACTTATCATAAATAAACTTAACAGTGAAAATCATTAAGATCAGGCCACTATAAATTACACTGTTCGGCAGTGGGCTGGGGAATTGCTAAAATCAGGTTCTTATGAAAATCTGGTTTGCTCATACATACATACTTATATAGAAAATTAATTTCTAAATTTTCTCAGGTTGTCGATTTTAACATTTTTCTTTTTTCAATTGAATTTCTATCACTAAAGTCCTTCTGCAATTTATTTTTACGAAAAATGGTCGCTGGGTGCGTTTTGATGCAGAAAAACGTGAAGAAACATTAAAGGTATTCTCTTTCACGGTGCACGGTATGCACTGTGTGCAAAGTTGTCCCATTCGAAAACCGGTTTTTAAAGTGCAATCTGTGCACCGTGAAAGGGCTTTGCAAAACTCAGAGAATACCCCTATTGTTGAGGAACATTGTTGCTAAACATTGTATTCGCTTTTACTTCATGTTCCTACCATGTTTTTTGCAACAAAGCACACCCCAACGGCCGTATGTGGTAAAAAAAAATTGCAAAATCAGATTCCTCGGACTCCAAAACCCTCAGGAATGCATTTTGAATGTATAAATATCTGCATTTAAATCACTCTCAGTGACCAACAATTTCAAATTACAAAAAAATGCTTAAAATCGCCATTCTGAGAAAACTGAGAAATTGCTTTTCTACGTACAATCCAGACTTTCAGATAAACTTGGTTTAATCAATTTCCTAGAAAAAAAAACTGAAATTGTCGTACAGTGGTCTAGCTGGAATACAATTTATTGTTTAGATATGAGTTTTGTTATAGTAAATTATAGTTATATTGTAAATCCTTCATTTAAATAGCTAAGCACATGACATTTTGTTCCCTATTTGCATATCATAGAATAAAAATTTACAGTGAAATTGATCAACACCAATTTAATATAAGGTCTGTTTGATGAATGCACTAAAGGATTTCGTTTCGCACTGCATTGTTCTGCACTCTTCGAACAGACTAATAAAGGGTTAAAGTAAAATTCTCCTATGCTCACGAAGAGGTTGAGGCCTTTGACATAGCCGAAGACAGTATTGTCTTCATATACATATGTATGTAGGTATATATATATTTTTTAATTTTAAATGCCCAACTTTGCCAGAACATTTTTTTTTTCATTCAATGCTCGAGGAAATCCGCAATTACAAAAAGTTTAAGAAATCTAAGAAAATCCAACGGGTGAGTAGTTGCTCTTTTGCTGTTAGTTGTGATTGGAATTGGTATTGGAATTTGTATTAATAGAAAGTAACGCAATCATGGTATAATCAATTTGCATGCCAAAGTCATACTAATCAAATTGATTTCATTACTATCTAGTATATCTTAACATACAAACACACACATACATATGTAGAAAATTAAAATTACGAGTACATGCTAATAATTAATTATTTTAACTAAATGCCATTCTACATATTCCAATACAATTCCAACTCGTATTTGTATGCAGGTCATTCGGCTGCTGAAAATAAGAATTATGCCGTTAATAGCATCACCAGCAACATATACCATGGATATTTACCACAGCAACAAAATAATAAACACAACGCCAACAGCAACGGCAACGGCAACGGCAACGCCAACAACAATATTAATAATCGTCACGCATTGCCCGCGCCCTTCAATCATCATCCACAACAGATTCATTTGAATAATCATCAACCAAATCATAATACATATAGCAATAGCAACAACAACAACAACAACAACTATAACCTTAATAGAAATGATAATCTCAATAATATACATCATCATGCCTCAAGCGCACTGGACGAATTGGATAGCGAAAGTAATGGTGATGACGATGAGAGTAGCCAACGTTTGGACTATGAAGAGGATGATTATGATCCCGATGAGGGCGAAGATAATGACGCGCTAAGCATGCTTAATTCATCAACTATACATTGTACGTACCGTTAGTACCTTATATGAGTGTATGTAGATTTCATTTAGCTGATATAATATGCATTAGGATGGTCCTTTAGAAAGTCAACATCAAAATTTTTTATGTGGCAACCCTTTTTTTTCTACGTACAAAATAAAAACATCCACAAAGAATTTAAAGATAAAAAAACTAAAAACTAGGGTCGCTACCAGGTTTTAATTTTTTTTTTTTTTAAATCGCAAAAATTCTACAACATTTTAACTTTGACCAGCTATGACTCAGTGTATTAAAACGTATTCTTATAAATTCATAAATAAATTCGCTGAATTATGGCTGGTCAAAGTCAACTTTTCTAATTGTTGTGGTAAAAAAAAAATTAATTTTTTCAAACCTAAAAGTTTGTTTAAACTTTGAAAGTATAGGCGGATATTTTTATTTTATACGTAGAACAAACTAAAGGGGTGCCCCATGACACTGTTATTTTAAAAACCACCCTAGTAAACATATAGTCCGAAACTTATTTCCTGTGTGTCCCCGTGTATCTAATTTGTGCAACCCGCTTTTTCAAACCGAAAAAATTGGATTGTTTTAAAAATGTAATATTCTGCGTGACAGTTTTTACTAAATACATAGAAACTAACATATCATTCATGGTAGACATTATTGCACTTCATACATGGGTAGATATTTATATTTTATGTAAGTGTAGTTATTCACATCTTGTCTTGCTGCTGTTGGCTTTCATTAAAATACGCATGCATGTTTACAATTCTATAAAAACAAATTGATTTTATGAAACTAAGTTTTTCTGAAAGATTGGATTGTATATAGCAAAGCAATGTCTCAATTTTTCCATGTTGGCGATTTTAAGAATTTTTTCAATGGAATTTGGCGGTCTGAGAGCAACATTTAGGAGAGGGGCCGAGAACGCGTTCCCGATTTGGTTTTGGTTCTGCATGAGAACAAAGCGTGTTTCACGAACGTCCCCACAAAGAACCAACTCAACTGTCCGTTTATGGAACATTTTTTTCATTTTCCGTGCAAGAAAAGTTCGTTCCTTAAGTCCTTCGTTTTTCCATATTATCTTTGTTCTTTTTGATTAATTTTAATATTTAAACATTTCAAACTAGTGAACGCTATGCAAAAAATTTTGTTCTTGCTTCCATCTTCGCGAATATTTCAGAGAAGATTTTTTCCCGTTTCCTTCTATGTTTGAAAGTTCCAGAGACTTTAGTTCCCAAATTATTATTCGAGAGAAAGTTTCTTAGACTTTTGTTCCCGTTTATTTTATTTCCAAAACGTTTCGAAGACCTTTGCTCCCATTTTGTTCCCTAAGAAATTTTCCCGAAAGTATTGTTTGAATTTTGTTCTCTTTGGATGCGTTCCGCAGGGTTTTTTTTTTTTTCTTATAAAATTCCCATTGGGAACGTTCTCAACAGTTTTGTTCTCATTTTGGTTTTGGTTTTGAAGCGACATGGGAACAAAACTACCAGAGCAACATTTAGGTTTGATCACACCTTTTGCTATCGGTCCCTGATTTAAAACAATTAACCCCCCATGAGTTTTGCGTTCCGAGAATCTGAATTCGTACTTTGTTTTTGACCAAAAACGGTCGCTAGAGTGCGCTTTGATGCGAAGGACATGGAAGGAACATTAAGGAAAAGTACAAAGAATCTTTCTCAAAAATTTTTCTTCATGTTTTTTTTGCACCAATGCGCACCCAGTGGCCGTTTAACGTCAAAATAAATTGCAGATTCAGATTCTCCGTACCCGAAAACCCACAGAAAGGCTTTTTAATCGTATGAATATTTATTTGCATTTAAACCTACTTGCTGCTCTGTTCGCCAACCTGCGAAAACTGAGAAATTACTTTTCGATACTTTTCGTATAATCCGGATTTTTAGAAAAACTTGGTTTCATCAATTCCTCAGCCCACTGCCGTACAGTGTAATAAACCCAAAAATTATAATTAAGAAATCATACTGAAAAAAACTCCAACAAAGCACCTAAATGTTTTATAGACTTACGACCTAACCCCGATACACAAATGAATGAATCCGATAGCGAATCCGATTGTTTGGCTGATCAGAAGGCAGCGCTCGAGGAGCAACGAGTAAGTTTTTAAGGATCAAAGTCATGGAGATGAAGAATTTCAGTTGGAAAGAGTTCTTGTTCATCATTCTGCACGTTTCGCGATAAATGCAAAATATGTATGCCAGTTTGTGCTCGACCCGGTCATAAACTATGTAAATTTTAATAAAAAAGTTAAAATAATTGTTTATACCACAACTAAGCTCTCCACCTCCACGATTTTCAACCTTAAATATGTACATACATTCCACATAGAAGGTAAAATTACAATTGCAACCTCTTCCTGTTTTTTTGTTTTTAGCACGGCGGCACGTTATTCTATGTGCCCGAATGCACTGCGGACGGACGTTATCAGCGTGTGCAATGCTATCGCTCCACACCGTATTGTTGGTGTGTACACGAGGATACAGGCAAAAATATACCCGGCACATCGGTGAAGGACAAGCGACCGCAATGTGATACCATTTATGCAGCGCCCCGTCCCATGAAGGGCTGTCCCGAGCCGAGAAAAACGATGTTTTTGAACGATCTCAAAGAATTCTTGAAGACGCATATTGTGGCAAGTGCAATTTCAGGGTAAGAAGATATGAGGATCAAAAATTAACGAAATGAAGTAGTCTCGGAGCGTTTCACATAATTTTTGTAGTTGTTCCAAGCTGTTGAGGCCGTCTAAAAATGTGTTAGATGACTTGGTTTGAGGTAGTTAGTAGCTTGCAGATGTAGTCTTTTGTGGTTGTAGTAATCTCTTTCAAAATCTTTTTTTTTAATCATTGTTTTCGGGTTGTCCGTGATTTCTGGTAGATTTCGGATTGGGAAAGCGTAAAAGTTGTATAAACGGACGTGAACTCCCAGCTGTAGTCTGAGGTGTTAAAAGGAGTTGCGGAGAAACAGAAGCGGTTAAAGGACATCGTTAAATTTTTCTTGGTTTGCTAGTTTTATCTCTAAAAAATTACTGATGAATGTCGATCACTCAGATAATTCGCTGACCACCGTTTGAGTCCCTGTAGGCGAGAGGAAGCCTCAATGTCTTCTAGTAACGTGGACTGACCGACGGTGCCTTTTTTCTCTCACAGTGGTGGTTTCGTTTTAGGGCGCGAGTTATCTGAGAGAGCTGGTGAGAGGCGCACTGGGTTGTGGCTATTTGTGCAGGCTTCTGGTCGTTTGGCTTTGCCCATCGAAAGATGTCGCGTAAATTGTGGGCTAAAAAGCTCGCGCATCAATCCGGGTCCGAAAAAGCGCGGTCATTGAAAGAGATTTCCACTCTGTCGTCGCGCTTTGTGAGCCCAAAGACGCTCTGCTTTTAGGAAATGCTCCACGTCGTCAAGAAAGCTATGTATTTCAGATAAGAGAAGCGCTCTTTGCTACTTAATAGTGATTTTTAAAGCTTTAAGTCCTAATTTATAAATACTAATTCTTCAACGCAAAAAAATACATATATGAACATATTTGTTCCTCACAGCGGTAACACAACGAAATGGAATTCTGAGGACGAACGCATTGCGACGTTAAGTTTTGTTTTGCTCGATAAGAACAAGAATAAATCGTGGGAGCGTAAAGAGTGGAAGACATTTCGAGAAATGGTAACTAGTACGAAGTAAGTCCTTCCCAATAAGTGCATAGAATAATTAAATGCTATTGCCATACTAATTCAAGCACCTAATAAATAAATTTGAATGTTAATTCTAGAACCTTACGTAAGTGCGGCAAAAAGATGCCCCGATACTGTGATGTAAATAGTGATAAGAAAATTACGCTTACCGAATGGTTGAATTGTTTGCAAACGCAACGTATTGAGGTGCAGTCTACTTCTCAACGCAGTTCCACGGAAGCCAGTAAGTTGATAGTCGCTATGCTTACATGCATTTCTATGATGGAACATTTTAATTTTTCTTACAGACGAATCTATAACGTCGAAGCCGCTGAAGCTAACTGGTTCCAATCCACTTGAACATTATCTCAAGGAATAAGGTAGCTGCAGTAGCCCTCATGCGGGTTGGGTGATACGATTAGTGGAACTCGTTTTGCTTTTTTACTTTTAATACGTTTTTTTTTTTTTTATTTCATTTTGTTTTGTTTTTAAATATATTTACTCTTTAATTTAATTTTAAGATAACACTCTTTCGTGGGCTGGTGTTTTGCTTTATTTTAAAATTGCATTTTCCGTGATAGTGATGATAGTGTTACTCCTAAAAAAATACACATACTATGTATTTATGCATGTATGCATGTATTCATGTTTTTACTGAAATTTAAATGAAAAACATTTATGTTAGTTGTGAGCTTGATTGTAAGTAAGAATAAAACCAATCTCTATAAGTAATCATACCATGCAGGCAGTTCGGAGCATGTATTTTACACTCAAATTTTGTACATAAATATTTATCGCTTAGTGTAAGATCTAAACTACATTTTATGCTAATAGTTTTAGTCTTTGTTTTAAGTTAAATATAGTATATATACACATATATTTGCGAATACTTAGCTATAATCATGTCTTGTATGTACTAACTGTAATACTTAATTTATTTTAAGTTTAAAAATATCAAAAATGTATTTGTAATGTGGAATAAATATTATGCACAGCATTTGTTTGACTCTGGCTTCGGCATTTGTTGCTTTCGGCGCAAATTCTGATAAGATTATTAGTACACAAATAATACTTAATTACACTTCTTACTCCTCATTTCGCGCCTTTTCATTTAAATGCAGCAGCAGCTTAGCAAAATAAGTGAAAATCACCAGCACCACTGTTGTCACTTCCATAATGACAAAGTGTGATATCGAAGTACCGATTTCCAGCCATGAGCCTTCATTTCGTACCAGAAATAGAAAATTCAACCCCATAACATCACATATTAGCATTAAACAAACGAAAATTGTTTGTTCGTTGGCGCGCGCAAATCGTGACATACCAAATATGATCGATATATTTAACAATACAGGTATGACTAATTTCAAAATCACCAACGCCATAATGATGAATGGCGAAAAGGTGCTCAAGAAGCATCGCACAATGTTTGGGTCGAATGAACTTACGGATGCAATATTACCAGTACCGAAAAAAGAGAACAGTGTGTATAGCAGTATGCTAAAAGAAAGTCTTAGAGCAACTTGCAGCTGCTGCGGCGAGCTAACCACATGCCGCATTTTATCCTTTGAAAACTCCTCCTCTAATTTGTGTGCTATAGGCAGTTGCATTGGCTGTACTGATAGTGTAAGCATTAGCTCCGATGCAAGCATCACTATGAAAAGTGACTCATACGAAGTGCAGAGTAGCGCGTAAAGCGAAGTTAGTAAGTAGAATATAAGCTCAATGCGTTGCTTTAATACCGACGTTCTATAAAGAACTATTACTGAAAGTGTGTAGATAAGAAATAGCCATGAAAGTGCTTGTGATAATAGCGGTACACCGCGTTGCTGCGCGTGCCAGAAGCTGGCCAAGAGCGCATTGATAATACACACCATGGCTGGTAATTTTATATGCCAATGCACATGAGATTTAACAACAAAGGGACGTATCATCGTTGCAAACATGCCCAACAGCAGCAACCATGTGTTTGCATAGCCAACTGATGGTGGTAGCAGCGGAAATATCGCTAAACACACACTTAATGGCAACCATATGTAAAGCTTTGCATTATTACCAGGGAATGCGCGAAAATTTATTACTAGACTGTAAATTAAAAAACTCAATGCAATTAGTTTGCGCTCAAAAAAACTGTAAACAAACAATTCGGCGCATAAAATGAGCGCTAATAATTGAAATAGAGGCATTGCACGTATGAGCGGCAGTAAGGAAACACCTTGCTTCTGCACCAGCAATATCCAAACCAATAAAGGTAGTAATAGATAGAAAGCTATGACCATTGGAACACGTTGCAGTAGTAGAAATACGCAGGCTAGCAGCAAACTTAGTTTCTGACCGATTGTTAGTGACCAGCGCCAATAAAAACGTTTAACTCGACGTTGCTGAGCCAGCAGGAATTGCAAACAATATATAATCCAAAAAATAAATGTAGCAGCTGTACTTATCTGTAATGGCTTGCGGTAGTAACCCTGATAGTACTCAATGCCTTCCAATGTGTGTTGCATAACGTTATAACTCGTGAAAATGGCTTCCGCGAATTGACCACTTTGCAGTTTGTGCTCCGTACTTTCTATATATTGGGTTATTATTTCAGCATTAAGTTTGCTATATCCTAGTAGGTTACGCGAAAATAGTCCACGCTGGTGTGCGATTAACAATGCCTGGAACTGTGCCAAAAGCTGAAGTGCATTGGTATGTATGGCGTGCGCTTTATATTCATCTGACGCATTTAGGAATTGCAACGGTATCATGCCAATGCTGTTAACAGGTGGTGCAACTCCAATCAGAGCTGCCATTAATGGTGTTATCTGCGCCTGTTGTATAGCATAGAGAGGCCGCGTTGTATCCTCGTCAATAGTAAACTCGATGTCATAGCTGACATTGCTGGCAATGCCAGCGCCCCAAAGGAAGAAAGGGGTTTCAGTTTCGAAAGTGTCGCTCGAGCCATGTGAACCTATAGAGAATGCAATTTTTTAAGTAAATATCTTAATTTTACCCTAAATTTATCTCACTTACCTGAATTTGTCATGCCATGATCAGAGGTCAACACGTAAGCTGTACGGTTGTCAGGGAATATACGCTCAAATTCCTTATAAATTTCGGATATACCTTTATCAGTGCGGTGTAAATTTTCTAGAAAGTTTGGCGTACCAGGCTTATGCACATGACCAGCCGTGTCCAGACCCAGGAGATGTAAGAAG